TTAAAAAAAAAAAAATCTATTGAAAACAAAGCTTGTTTAATCAGTTGAATTTTATATTGACATGATTTTTGTCTTTTCATTAAAAGTTAGTCTTCTTTTTTGGTGATGGTGTCTGAGGTATGAAAATTAGGCACTTTATTAGAAATGAGAATTGTGAATGTTTCATACATATGCACATTTACAGTTTCTGAAATTTGGAAGTATTCAGTGCTGTTTGAAAAATACTGTTTGTTATTTCATTGAATTTTGCTTGTCAGGCAGAAAGTCCTGAGAGGGAGGCATCTATTTTTAAGATGTTCAGAGACTTTGGTGCCCAGACTCTGCTGATGTGCTCTTTGTTTCCGTTCTTTTCCTAGGAGCTGAGTAATGGCTCCATGGTCCGGATCACTCTTCCTGAAATTGCCACCTCAGAATTAGGTATGGCTGAGGAGCACATCTCACTTCTGTGTGTTCTTAGTTTGATTTGTAAGATTTGTGGTCAATGCTGATTTACGTTAGTAATTGAAGTTTTTAAAGTTTACTTTTTTGACGCCACGGGGTGGAGGTTTTTACTTTGCAGAGAAGCTGTAAGGAGCCAGGGGCACTCTGCGACATCCCCGCCACCTGTGCTGTGTGGTAGGGGCGCGCACCTACAGGATGAGCTTGTTTGGTTTCTCTGATTTGTCTGATAGGGAGGGGGCCTCGCAGTGAGATTACAACACACGGACACGCCTTTTCCAAGTGAATCTGAGAAACGAGGAAACCTAAGTAGTTGAAATCATTTTGGCCTATTTGATGGTTTTAATCCTAAAATAAATCTCTCAATTGTTAGATCAATTGAGATATGAACAGAATGGTCTCAATTGAATAAAAATATAGTAGAAGTACAGTTGGAAGTGTTTTAATAAATTGGAGTCTGCTTATTATGGAAATGCAATTTGGAAAATACTAGGAGAATTTTTCTGAACATAGACTAGGAAAGAAAACTAGAATTGAAAGGATTTGACAACAAAATGTAAGTTAAGAAAAGAATGCCTATATGACGTAAGAAAATGCATGGCATCTGTTAGTTTCAAACCCTAACTCCCAAAGAAAGGCACTGGCAGAGGGTATTTCTGAAATTTGTAAGTAGGCTAGAATGACTTTTTCATTGATGGGTTAAATGGTATTCTCAGCTGGTACAGAGACAGCTTTGCTTTTCTACAAGGTCTTTAGCCAGTATGGCAAGGCCATGTATCTAGAAGTATAAGCCTAACAAAATATATAAAAACTGATAACAGATTAAATAAAATGAATAAAAACAAAATGAAATCTTAGTCTCTCACAGCCAAAATGAAGTGCCGTGGTCCACGTGAGTTTGGTACTTTATTTATAAAATGCCTCTCGGCCCCTCACACAGTGTCTGGTTTACACTCGTTTTGGATTCAACTAGGACAGAGTTGGGATTTGGCTTCCTAACATTTATTCCATTTGAGTCCAACCTTCGCTGTGTGTGCATACAGAGCAAATGGGTGAGAAAAAGGATGTGCGGCCGAGGATGGGCCCAATGACAGTGACAGTGTGAAGGGAAGAAGGCTCCTCTAAAGAGAAGACTCATCTACAGGGAAATAGAGAAACATTGCAGTTTGGGGCCATTTACTACTAAAAGCAGACCAGGCTCTTCACAGCAGCAGCCCTCGCCATCAGGAGGGATTACTGTGTGACATTTGGCACTATAGCTGAGCCTCAGACTAATGATACCGGCCACTAAGAGAAATGTGGTGTCAGCTGGTGTAAGACACAGAGCGTGGAAAACACGTTAGACATGCTTGCTGCCAGGAGTCAGAAGCTGTGACGCTTTGGTTACCAGGAATGTTCCCTCACGTGGAACATCATGCTATCAGAGGATGCAGACATGACTATTATGCACTGAAGTATTTAAGGAATACTTCACATTAATTTATTCATGTAGGATTGTGTGTTTTGATAGAATGACCTTTAATTTATTCTCCAAACTAGGACATTTTTGATACTGAAGTGGGAGCTATTCATAATTGCTGGGGCAATGGGTGTCAATCCGTTCTGTCTCCTATTTGATTACCTTATTTCTGATCCAAAATTAATGACAGAAGCTGCCCTGAGACCTCTTGCACACCCTGTGGACTTCAGGAATCTGTTTACGTTTCCAGTGATGGGCTAAGTGATGTCGCTCTTTAGTGATAGTTGTCTTTTCACAGTAATTGGTCTCTATGTGGTTGTAGTTTAAAAACTTTCATATGAAAACGGGAAGAGAAATGTGTGCATAGGAAATATACTAAAATCAGCCTTTGCTTCTAACAGTGCAAACATGTTTGCGAGCGATTAAGTTTATCCTGCCAAAAGAAGTAGCTGTTCAGATGCTTGTCAAGTGGTACAGTGTCCGCAGTGCTCCGGGTGGGCCCAGCTATCACTCAGAGTGGAATTTATTTGTGATCTGTCTCATGAACTTGATGGGCTATAACACAGACCGCTTAGCGTGGACAAGAAATGTAAGTACATACAGTTTTTCTTCCTGAGTTATTCTGTTGTTATTAATGCAATGCAATGTTTGCATAATGGGTAATCCAACATTGAGAGTCTGCAGCAGGTGAATTTACTAATAGGCATGCTTTCTTAAATGGAATAGTACGTGGGCTTCTTGTATGTGTATATTGTAAATCGAACATCAGTTAATATTTAATAACATTCCACTAGTAATTGTAATGACTGCATTTCTATAATGTGACAAAGCACTTTTGACCATTAGTTCTCATTTCATCTTCATCTGTGTATAATGACTGCAGGCCATGCTTGGCTTAGTAGTGATAGATGAAGGAACTACGTTGCAGTGAGCACACTGGAGCTTTGCTCAAATCCAGGCCCAGACTGGGACCCTGACTCAGGGCTCAGTGCTTCTTTCTGAAGCCCAGACTGACACACACACTGTGTGGTCTGGGAGGGGACTAAAAGTGGTTTAGCCTGAGTATCACCTTGCAAATGATAGAAAGTCGTGTCCCTCTCCTCCGGCCCCAGAGAATTTCTTACAGGCCCTTCCTAGTTATTTCTGGCATCAGCAGGGGTGCCTTCACACTGCTGATCTCCTCTTGGCCCTGGAGACGACTCCCAGGACAGCCTTGGTGGTCACTGTGTGGAAATCACACCTGTGTCCAGCTATACCTGTCTGTGCATGTCAGTTTTGTACTAACAAATCCATTTGGAAAATCATTTGGCTTCCTTCATTATGAAAGAGTATGTGCTTACTGAGGAACATGTTGAAAATGGAGAATTCAGAAGAGAAATTGATACTCAGAGATGACCACTCTAAACATTTTCGGTATTGCCTCTTAGATCTACACCATATCAATGAAAGTTTCCATACCTTTCTAAATTCTTCAAATAAAACCCCTCATTTCATCATTCTCGTGAAAGGCTACCATGTGGTTTTATTGTAACTAACCAGTACCTAATAATTGAACATTGTTGACTTGGTTTTATTTTCTTGTTATGAATAATTTGTAAACATTCTTTTACAAAGAAATCTTTACATCTTTAGTCATTTCCTAAGACTTGAACCTTAAAAGAGGGATTACTAGGTCAAACCACATCCAAAATGTGTTGTATAGTCGATACTCTCAGCAGCATCATTTCAAAGTGCCCATTTCACCCCATTGATGATTGGTGGAGTGGTGAACCTTTGCCAACTTAGTGAAAAATTTCATCTTATTTCTGTGTAACTGAATGGTTTTTCCAATTCTCACTGGTCATTTATACAGAATTAACTTTTAGGGGAATTAGATTACTTGATAAATATATGTAAGTTTTTATATAGCACAGGAAAGTTGCTATGGTCATTTTTAGAGTTATGGTTGATGATTTGGCCAGGAGAAGTAGCAGAAGTGACAAAGGTCATGCTAGAGGGAGATGAATGAGAGTGAATGACCTTTCCCCATATCGCCCTTCTGTCACTATATTAGTGAGGATAGGCTGTTATAACACAAAGTCCTCAAAACACGTGATGGCTCCCACACAATCCAAATGTACGTCTTGCTCCTGTGATAGTACCTAGCAGGTCCATACATAGGCCACACAGTGATTAGGGTCCCTGGTTGATGGACCACCTGACACCTTCAAGTTGAGACTTCAAAGACTGCCTTCATGGTTGACTCCCTCTAGTCAGGTGCAAGGGAAGAGCACCTGGCGGACCCTGCTTACTGGTTGTGTATCCATGATGTGGACCTGGAGGTGGTGACATCCACTGTCACTCAGAGTCACATTATCAGAGGGCCACACCCGACTCCGAGGGAGGCAGGGATATGTAGCCTGGCTGTGGGTCCAGGAGAAAGAGGACAATACAGATTTTGGAGAGCAGCTGCCTGTCTCTGCCATAGAATTGTTAGACTGTCCACTGTGGACACACTCTAAATAGCGTCTGCTCTGTTCTGTCACTTGCTAACATTGGGTTGATTCTTTGAGACATGGCATATTTGGATGTGGCTCATGGTCCTCGCTCTTCTAAAGGGGTGAAGATGTGTGTCCTCAGAGAAGTAGGGGAGGAAAGGAAATGGCTGCTGCAGTGCCTTTGAGCCTGGACACTGCTGGGTGCTGCACATCTGTGGTTTCACTTAGTCCTCACAGTGACCATAGAAGAAAGGTATTCACACCATGTTTTTCCAGGTGAAAATGAGTTTTGATCACTTTCCTCAGTTTCCATGATTGGTGGAACTGATCTCTGAATCCTTTAAGCTAGTCAGTTGATATAATAAATTGATAAGATTTTGTCTTGGGGTTATCTTCCAGTTTGACTTTGAAGGATCACTTTCCCCAGTCATTGCACCCAAAAAGGCAAGGCCTTCTGAGACGGGATCTGATGAGGTAAGCTTTATTGTTTCCTGCTAATATAAGCTGACTTGTAGACACTTTCACTGGTCTTTCATTTCTGTGGCATTGGTATAGATTTGTGTGTATAGGCACACCTCGTTTCATTGCGCCTCACAGAACTGCATTTTTCAAGAATTGAAGGTTTGTGGCAGCCCTGCATCCAGCAAGTCTCTCGGCCCATTTTCCCCAACAGCATTTGCACAGTTCGTGTGTCTGTCACATTTTGGTAAATCTTGCAGTATTTCAAACAGTTTCATTATTATTGCCTTCGTCATGGTGACTTATGATCAGTCATCTTTAATGTTACTATTGTAATTGTTTTGGGGTGCTATGAACCATGCCTCTATTAGATGGCACATGTAATTGATAAATGTGTATGTGCTGACTGCTCCCCCAATCGGCTGTCTCCACGTCTCTCCTTGTCCTCAGGCCTCCCTAGTCCCTTAGTCCCTGAGACACAGTCATGTTGACATCAGGCCACCTATTGACCAACAGTGGCCCCAAGTGTCCAAGTGAAAGGGAGAGTCACACGTCTGTTCCTAGTGAAAATGCTGTGAAGATTGTTGACATGACAACAAAGCACTGAGAATGTCACATGAACTCAGCTGACAAAGCAGCAGCAGGTTTCCGAGGACTGCCTCCAATTCTGAGAGCAGTCCTACTGTGTGTAAAATGCTGTTAATCGGCTTCGCACGATACAGAAAAATAGTTCGTGAAAGGGAGAGTTGATCCGTGCAGCAAAGCTCATTGTTTCATTTTAAGAAATTGCCAGGGCCTCCCAGCCTTCAGCAACCATCCCCTGGCCAGTGGGCGGCCATCGACATGGAGGCAGACCCTCCACCAGCACAAAGATGGCGACTCGCTGTAGGCTCAGACGTGGCTAGTGGTTTTAACAATAAAGTGTTTTTTATTTTTTTTTTAAAGATTTTTATTGGGGAATTGGGGGAAGGGGAACAGAC